ATAATATAAAACACAATATGACTATATATATATATATATATAATTATATATTTGTGGGCTACTACGAGTCGTTGCTCTTTGGCAAAGTGTCTAAACCTTTTATTTATTTCAGGTACGTTGATGATACTTTTGCTACTTTTTCAAATGAAAGTGAGGTCGTAAACTTTTTTAATAGGCTTAACTCCTTACACAGGGCTTTGTCCTTCACTATGGAAGTGGAGAAGGACAATTGTTTGCCCTTTTTGGACGTTGTTGTTGAGCGTAGTAGAGGGGGTTTTCTTACAAGTATTTATCGTAAACCTACCTTTACTGGCCTGTATATAAATTGATGTACGTTTGCACCTACATCAATGAAAATTAATCTTATTAAAACCTTGATGTACAGGGCGCTCAAAATTTGTTCTCCTATTAGACTGGACTCTGAATTTGAGAATATTAGGGAGATTTTCCTTAGTAATGGCTATCCGGAAGCCCTCATTAATTATATTATTAATAAGAAGACTAAGGAATTTAATTTTCCTAAAGTCCAGAGGCCTTCTAAATGTCCGGTTTATTTGAAGGTTCCTTGGATTGGGGATAAGGGCCAAAGCTTAGTTAAGCAAGTTAGCAAGTCGGTTTCTGGTTGTTTTCCCTCTGTTTCTCTGCGTTCTATTTTTCGGACTAGGTTTGCGTTTCCATCGTTTCGCAAGGATGAATTGCCCTTCATCAAATTAAGTAATTTGGTATATGAATTTAATTGCCAGTGCGCTGCTGGTTATGTGGGGCGTACAACCTTGAATTTGGAAACAAGAATTAATCAACATGTACCTTCTAAAATACGACATGGCAAAATAGATAACATATGTTATCTTCCCTCTACAAATATGGAATCGGCTATTGCTCAACACCTAGTAGAGAATATAGCCTGTGCCAAGTCGTATACGAAAGAGTGGTTTAAAATTATTCACATAGCTGGTTCCAATAATCATTTGAAGATTTTGGAATCGATCTGTATAGGATTACGGAAACATTCTCTTTGCCGGCAGAAGGACTTTGTGAAGTCCCTTAATTTGTTGGGGGATATTTTATTTTAACTGTCCCTCACTAATTATTTACTCGCGATTTCCCCTCCCCTCGTTATAAGTATATATATATATACTTATATGTTATTGATGTGTGTTTTCCCTCCCAATTTTTTTTGCTCTTCATTTTCGTTGTTCTTTTCGTTTAATTTATCAATTTTTCAAACGATTTTCTCCTGATGAGATGTTGGACGAAAGGGCCTTAGGGACTATTACCATTAATAAATTCCTTGTTTTTAGAACACACACACACGTTGTGTGTGTGTGTAGCAACTTGATAGCTACTTCTTAGTAAAAGAAAATAAACATATTAGTAACCTAATCTCCCCTTTTCGACATTAATAAATGAATATCTCATTTGCAAATACAGGATCACATGTTGTTAATACATTTATTTTCTTTTTATTTCTTTTGTTTTGTGTTTTCTTTGACGATGTGCATAAAATATTTGGATAGAGTATATCTATAAGAAAACAATATGAATAAAAAAAGGTTTATTCATATATATATATATATATATATATATATATGTCTGTCGGATACCACTTGTCAATAGTTTTAAATAGACAAAACTGCATATTTTTTTCTTAAAAGGGTATCATTTTCATCGTCAACTTTTCTTATTAAGTACTGTATAGTTTCTTTCGAGATAAACTGTTCAAAGAAGACTTCAAAAGTAACTACCAGCGATTTATCTTGAAAATGGAAAAAAAACTGACATCGTGGTGTTATCGATTACCTGCAGAAAAAGGGTCTAGTCCCCAAGGACATTCATGCTGACATGATTGCTCTATTTGGAGTGATGCTTCTGCTTTATCCACGATGCAAAAGTGGGCAGTTGAATTTAGGGGGGAAAGGGAGAGTTTTGAATATGACCCAAGGTCTGAATGCCCTGCAACTATCACCACCGAGGAAAACATTGATCTTGTGCACCACATAATGATAGATAACAGACAACTGACTATAAATAAAATAGCCAATGCTATTGAAATATATCGTGAGAGAGTGGAGAAAATGTTTCACAATGAACTTGGTATGACGAAGGTTTCTGTTCGGTGGGTGCCACGTCTTCTAACACCTGATCAAATCATACAAAAATCTGGCAATGAGTCGGATCCAGCTGGTTTCTTAACCCAGGATAAATGTTGGGTTCATCATTTTGGGCCACAGGCAGAGACAATCCATGCAATGGATACACCCCTCCTCATCTCCTCTAAAGAAGACCATGGTCGTTTCATCTGCAGGAAAGGTGATGGACTCAGTTTTTTGGTGTTGCAAAAGACATTGTGTTTACTGAATATCTTCAAAACGGCCAAACCACCAATGGCGAGTACTATGCCAACTTTCTGCGGTAAACTGACGAAATCCGAACACTGCTTCTGAAATTAACTCTTAGTTTCAAAGGCCGCAGTGCTGTATTGGCTTTGAACTGGCTGATCACTCTTCCTGTTCTCCTGATTTGGCACCACCTGACTATCATCTGTCCCCTAACATGAAAAAAACACTTGACTGGGTACCAGTATCGCAGTGATGGTTACCTTATATTTGCTGTCAATGAACTTTCAGACCAAAAGGATGAAAGCTTCTTCACCAATCAGATCCAAGCACTGCAACATCGATGGAAGAAGCCTGTGGACAGTAGGAGGTGCTATGTTGAAAAATAAACCTCATTTGATCACATTCCATGAGAGTATCTTGGTCAGCCTATGAACTTTTCAACCGACCCTCGTATTTTTGGAGGCAGTATGAGAACCTGTTGAAAAGTAGTAAGCATTAAACTCAATTTATCAGGTAAATACTCATGTTGATTTTTTAATGTCATCTTCCTTCAGGGCGATGGTGATCATGAAACTCCAGTTGCTTTTCCTGATTTCTTGGGAAATATAGTGGAGCGGTTCCCCGTTACATTCTATTCAGTTTTTAAATTCAGAGTTTTCCTTCTCCTAGTCTGGTTGCCGCCCAAAACTACATATCCCAATCTATCCTGCTATTTAACCCATGACCGAGAAGAGGACAGATGTATTTAAGCAATTCCCAAGGATATTTTCGCAAAAGTGAACAGACTAACCCGCAATTTGAACTCGGTTTGCCGATTCCATTTTCCGCGTCGATATCCGTCACACGTCTCGCATATCCATGTTGATAGACAAGATCAGAAGCTCACAATGAAGGTCATTATTATTTGGTGAAATAATTTCGGATTCTGCACGATGGAGAGCATCTAAAGCAAATTTCCACCGCCATAAATTTTTGGGGAAAAACAAGGAGAAATACAGTAGGTTTTATCTATTATGAACTCTCGGAATAAAGTAAAAGTTGCGATCAGATTTTTAGAACGGGCGAAAAATGGCGTAAATTATCTATCAACAGAAAGTGTTATTCTTCAGAATGACAATAAAAACTCATACATAGCAAAATAAACTAAGATTCTATTGTTAGCTTGGAATATTTTATTGTATCCTTGTAACCGGTTTAACATATTAACGTATTTCTATCTAATTAAATCACAAATTTTTCATAACGTCAAAAACTTGAAAAGTAGAAAAAGGACAATTCAATGTAATTAGAATTCTTTTTTATTCAGAAACATGGATTGTTTCAATAAAGGTATAAAAGGAATTATCATACTCTGCTTTTATCATTGCAAATAATGATGTACTATGGTAATTTAACTTTAAAAACTATTTTAATAAAAAATTAATATTCTAGTCAATTCAGCAAACACAAATGTATATAAATCGTAGAACGTATTCAAGGTTACTAAAAGGTTGAATTACAATTAATGTTATTGGTCCTAACCTGGCATCCCAGCTTTAGTCACTTTCTCACTGCCGTAACGTATCTTCTCTATGCCTTTTCTATAAAAACTTTCATGGTAATTGTTCTGATAAACATTGCTCTATGGTACTTAGACTTTAGGAATTTAAACGCAGTACTAGATTGGCAACAAGGTCCTATCATTTTATAGTTAAATTGGCCAGATGTAACTGTAAGTTCAATGCTAACAGTTTCTTTTTTTCACACTTATTGCTTGTGAAACTTTTTTCTGGCTTCTTGCTTTCTCACCAACTTTGATCTTCAAAAATTTGAAAGGAATAACCCTGGGTATCTATTGTCTTCTTGATTCCTCTTCTTTTATTGTTCTCGCTCTTTAATAATGTTTTTCTTTTTCTTATTCTTTCACGCTTTGTAACTCCTTGTGACTTAGTGGCTTTATTGCCTTGTTTGGGGTGAATTGATTAAAAAAGGTACGTACATTAGTAAGTCTGTACGGGTCTAAACAACGTTTTTTTAAAGAAATAAATTTTCCAGTCTCCATGCTAAATTTTGTCGCGAGCCTATTTGTCTCCACTTAGGTTCGAACTCCTAATAATAGGTAACCGAAGCTGAGTAGCATCTGCTATAACTATCCAAAGAAAAAAAGATTACATGACTCTCTGTAAACGACCGGCACGCGTCTAGTCGGAATTCTTCACAATTTTTACCTATATCTCCACCGTTATAAAATAAATCAAGCCGCCACAAATAACTATCAAACCGGCAAGGATTCACTTTCTTTTATATGTATATATATATATATATATATATATATATATATTATACAAAAGAAATGAAAAAATACTTTTTGAATACGTCTTTTCTTATATCAAGCACCACAACATTATCTGACAAATTTGTTGATATAGTAGAATTTTTTTTTGTTTCCAAAAAATGCGTCATTACTTTCTGAATAACCGAATAGAGTGTAATCTCTTCGAAGGTAATTTGAAGGACAAAAACCAGAGAAATAAAAAAAAAGTAAGACAAAAAGCAGAGAAGTAAAATATTAAAAAAAAAAAAAAAACAGAAAAGAAAAAATGGTGGACATAAAGCACTGAGTTTTCCTTCGGCGATTAACGTCACTTTGTTCAGATTTCTTACAAATGGGAAAAAGGATACCGACAAGGAAGAGAACGGAACCAAAAAGACAGAGCGAGAGTCGGAAATGACAGAGCGTGTGTGAAGAACCAGGGAGACGCGTCCGATATGAGATGATCGTCTGCAGCCAGCCATAGCCAAGTGTACCGAGAGCAAAGGCTAGCACCGCACCAACCACGTGTCCGATAAGGACGTTAGATTCCTGTAAAGAGAAAAATAATATAAGAAAACAAAAAAAAAAAACATACAGGCTTTCGACATTTGAAAGTCTGATGTAAATCAATCTAGCGCTAATTTTAAAACAATAACATAGATTGTGTTTCGAAAAAAAAAGAAAGATGGTCGTCTTTTTTCGGAGAATAACGCTTTTTTTCTTTTTTTTTTTTTTAAAAGTGGTCTTAGTAATAAAGTGTCCAATATTAAGCAAACGAGAATTAATAATAAACAAAATGAAATGTTCAAACTTATCTTCCCAACTCAGAATTAAACCTATGTGGAATTTGCTGGTCAGTTTGGGGTTTGATAGTAAAATTGAATTTATTAATAGATATCATACATTTCTTAAAAACGTTACTTAAATAAATAATGCAAATAAATTCAGTTTTACTATGCCCCCAAGCCCCTTGATGAGCGTATACCAAATCTACGAAAGCGAATCGAAAGATAAGCGTGAATATTTAATTTTATTTGCTCTCTCTCTCTCATTTTCCTTGTATTTTATAACGAACTTTCTATTTACTACTATATAATGTCATCTTTTTGTGATTCCATTTTCTTCTTCCTTTCTTTAATTAGATTGGAGCCACCTGATTCTGATAATACCGACTGTAATGAAAACAGGACAAGAGATTCTGTCTAGTAATCGTTTATTCAATTAAGAATGCTACTACTAGTCTACCTGACAAACGGAAATGTATAGCTTTTATAGTTGGATTATCAAGGGGGAGATAATCCATATTCACAACACCGACCATAGACCCAGACGACATGCATTTAACGGATGTCAGAATTCGTTGAAAAATACACCCCTACCCCTCCAAACTTAACGTCTTTTTCGAACGTAACTCATAATTGATAAAACAATAGTTAATAAAAATGAACACGCTACCACCTATGTCTGAATGATTGGATTTCTCTGTATCCTTGGAAACAGGAAATTATGAATTTATATGTGCGTTTAAAACTCAGTAAATTTAAAAATAAGTTATTCCAAAATTCGCTTGAAGATGAAACGAAACTAATGGGTTTTAATTTAATTATATAATTAGATTTGAAGTTTTTAGCTTTAGTTTTTGAAACATGGTTATTACTGTGTAGCGAAAAAACATTTTAAATCAGTTAATTTATAATATTTATGCTCTGTAAATTTACATTGAGCACTGTTTTGTAAAAATAAAAAATATCAATAAGAGCACCGGATTATATATCTTACTGTTCTTTATATATATATATCATGAAAATATATTTCGAAAATAATATCCGATAAATGCATTACGCCTCTAACGGCTTCATTAGATAAAACAGTGTTGTGTGTATGCATTTATGTGTGTTTAAAATAATTAAATCTTGTATTATTTTTCCCAAGCTGACGTTGCTCGAGACTAAAAGAGAAGGAAAATGAGTGACTTTTAAAAATCGTTTAATATTTTTTATCTTCTCCGTTTTTAAGTGTCCGAGTTTTGAGATGGAAATTCTTCAGAATGCGTAAAAAATAATTAAAAAAAAAAGAATTGTTTTATTCATGCGTTCTCCATGTCGACAGTATGTAATAAATTTGGGCATATAATCCAGACAGTGTTATAATTTATAACACTGTCTGGATTACACACACACACATATATATATAAGAAAACTTTGACAAAGTAGAAAAAGTAATAGCAAATCTGATAGAAACTTGAACAAAAAGAAAAAGAAACTAAATGGAATCGGCTAGATTACCTGCCCAAAACATATTTAAAAAAAAAATAAATTTAAATTTCTCGTGTAGACATTAGAGAGGGCGGTCCTTCGTCGACTGGATTAGCGCTACAGAATCACGAGAACTCTACTAAATAACAGAAATCACGCCACTTGAGGACTTTCAACAGCAGCAATAACTAAAATGGATAGAACGACGAGAAAATAATAACATTCCATAGTACTTCAAATAATAGGTTAGGAAAGAAAGAGTAATAACAGTGAACCCGAGGAAATTATTTTCATGAACAATTGTTTTAATAGATAGGTTTTAAATGGTGAAGTTTTCCAGATAAGGAAACGACTAATAAAACCATTACTATACATTATATATCAAAAATTAATTTTATTTATTAGAAAAATAACGAGCTACTTTCACATGCGTGTACTTTCAAGATGTGGATAATCATGGCTCTCCACAACTTCCTGCCCTTCGTTGCAACTCTTGTTCCTTTCACCACCCTTTCACAATCAAGTAGATTACACGCTTCTTTTCCCTTTTTCTCTTGCGTACTGAACGCAACGCGACTGCTAAATTCGCCAAGTTTCTTTTTCCTCAATATGTATCCAAAAAACTTCATCTCTTGCAGACTTTTACCAAAAGTTGGCAACTGTCTAACGAGTAAATCTTCTGCAGAATGTGGACTGACAATGTCATTCTGAAGAATGTTACTCCTGAAGTTGATCAAATCAAATGTGTTCTACATATTGTCCTACAAGATCTTAATAACTTATCGTACTAGAAAATCCAAGTGGCCAACTCTACGTTGTCATTTTTCTTTCTGTCAAAAAAATTATCACATTTTGGACCTCAATCTTTGTGGTTATTATTAATTAGAGTTTCAATAATTTAGCAAGCACAATGTTATACGAATTCACACGAGAAACAACTCGTACTTGCCGCCATAGTCCATAAGGCGTTACAACATACGGAGTGTTTACATCCAACTCAATAGTACACAAAGTTCGGCAATAAGGCTAGTATTCTTGGTGTAGATATGAAACGCAACTGTCAGGCTGATTTACGTGGCTGGGATTGGGGTTTGTGAAGATACCATACAGTATGCCTTGATAAACGAAAGATTACAGTACCGGTAGGAAGTTGTCTACTGGTTGTCATCAATAGTCACCCCCCCCCCACAAAAAAGAAAACTCAAACCATAAATCTGGTTATGTAACTGGATATACGGTATTTATTATAATTGTAGGCTTATGTGTCTGGGGTTCGTGATTGCTTGTATCTTGTGACTGGGTTTCGTGGGGGTTAGCAAACTCCTCTCCGCAAACTTGACCTTTCAGTGCTAAAACGCAAGATGATGTACAAGGGTATTTTTCAGAAGAAATGCGTTTTAACATACAGCAAATAGGGGGAGGGGGGCAAAATTAATTTCAACTCGGTATCTCAAAAGGGTAATTTGCAGTTCAAGCCCCGCACTCAGTTTCTAATAAAAAATTCCCGAATAGTTCCATTTAGGTGTAAATGTACATACTTAATTAAAAAATAAAGAAATTTTGATGAAATCTGCTGTTTTTATCGTCGAGGTGGGAGAAGTTTTAATTATTTCTGCACCGCGAAATAGTGTGTGTGTATTTGATGAGTGTGTGTTGTAAATGCAGTTTTGTGTGTAATACTTAAGAAAGTGAGAAGTTGGCAAAATGTATTTTAGGGTTGGATTAAATTACTAAAATTTCTGTAACAGGAAAAATATTATAATTAATACGCGGTGTTTCTCCATTTCTAAAAGATTCTTTTTAGATCTTCTATTTACTCAAGCACACTCAATTTGTTGGCAAGTTGACGATGTATGATACTATCCACACAAACGTTGGTTTTTGTGAGAAGTGTGTGCAGAAAACACTTCAATCCGACACTAAAATACGGTTTTATCAAGAAATAAATCCATAACCAATTTTTTGTTTTTTGAGAAAGTTACAAATTAGATTTCTTAAACTAATTTTTTTCTTTTAAATTCGAATGCTGAAAATTCATCATTTGGAATTTAAACTTGTTCGGCAGTGAATTAGCAAAAATAAAATGCGAGTCGATTCCATTGGTAAGAAGTAAGTTCTACTCAGCTTCTACTCCAGGACCCTTGCAATGTGAAACTGACTCCATAGAGGATGATTTCCTGTTCACTACAATCTTAACCTCTTGAAGTTGATGGTCAACCGTTTTCTATTCTACATATCCTCATAATATGAAACACTTGCTCCCTCCATAAACGTTCTTACAATATTCTCATTTAGTAATCCTCTACCTTGAGTACCACTTAGGTCTTGTCTTCGGTAAAGAAAAAGAAAAGAAAGTTGCAGACGATAAATGGAAGCAATATCTTTTAAAAAATAAGCAAAAGAATTTCCATTGCATTACAAATATAACATCCAAATAAAATGTCTAACTTCGTTGATTTCTTTCTATTCTGATCAACGAAATGTGACATTACTTTCTAAACAAAGTAATATTTGTTAAATCCAATAGTCTCACCTGAAAGTTGGCCACAATGCTGACCCCCATAGCTGCGAGAAGGCCAATACCGAATGCAAATTTGTTGAAAAATATTAAGTGTCTTCTTCCTGAGTTTTTGTACATTTCGTCTACCTGTCGATATCGTATATAAAGCGTCATGCCAACTGGAAAGAAAACCAAAAAAGAAAAAGAAAATACTGCAGTTAGTGAGAGAGGGCGGTACTCCGTCGTTATTCTCTGTTGTGTGATTGGCCACATTAAATACATAAAATTCCTGACATGCACATTATTATGGTTAAAGATGTGGATGTTATATATATATATATATGCATGAAGAAATATAGTTTTAAAGTGTGCTATATTTATGGGATAAAGTGCTCAATATCATAGATAGAGCGTATGTAAATATAAAAATGAAAATGAAAAACAAGTAAAATAAATTAACCCAAATAAATAAATAAGCGACACCCGCCAAAATAACCGCCAGAATGGATTACCCACAATGCCTCACTGATCCATATATATAAATAGTCGAGAAAAATCTAACACTCGCGGCCTGACGATTGCGTTTAGTATGAAACAGCCTTTCACCACTGAGTGCTGACTTCAATTTTCACCTTATATATATATATATATATATAGCCAGCTACTCCCGTTTTCTGAGCACACTCGTTTGCTAAGGTGATTAGCCAGTGACTATCTCAGACACCTGTCCAAGAACAGTTGTGTCTGTTCAATACTCACAGAACTCACCTGTGGATTATACTGCAACTATGCTGAGAGAGATTGAGAGAGAGAGAGAGAGAGAGAGAGGGAGAGGAGAGAGAGAGACATAGTATGTCATGATCAGCAGTTTGAACCACGCTCAAACCCTTGGTCACAATGACTAGTGATTTCGTGTTGGCAAATGGCCGAGTGGTTAGAAAGTTTGCTTTGCGACCATGTTACCTGCGGCCCGAATCTCCCCAATGGTCGATTGTTCAGGAAGGTGACTTCTTGATGTTATCGACCTGGGGAAGCGACCCCAGCGTGCGGCACCTTTGGAAAGTGCTTGAAAACCATTCTATGGGTTGACTCAAGTCTTGTTTTGGTGACTGAAACTGGGTTGATGAAGCTGTTCGGAAGTCGTTAATGGTTGTTCATATATATATATATATATATATATATATATATATATATATATATATATATATATATACCGTCAGCAAGATAAATATCAACATCATTTTTACGACTACTCTATGTCCACAATTGATACTAATAATACATTTTAATTTTTCTTCCGGGGAAACATTTTGTAATCTCATTTCAATAATGCAATCAGAAAATAAAATGATCGCAAAAATTGAAACAATTAAAAAATATAAATTAGATCAAATATTGTTAACAGTATTTCATGCTGGTAAAATCTTTTTCGTGTATTGTAATAACTGACAGAAATTAGGCTGTTAAATATCTAAGTAGATGTATTGTTAATGGATTTACTCTAGAAATACATTGAAAATGACTTTACAATACATTGAAAATAAGAAAGAAGACGATTGCCTGTGGCCAGGAATTAAAGCAAGCATTACTGACAGGATAGGACTATTATAAGTATAGTTATCAAATAAGATTTAGATAAAGATGATTTTCAAGCATGCACGCAGTTTAAGTTGTTTTTAAAAGGTTGGCAAATTGAATTGCTAAACAAGATGTCACGATTAAAATACTCACTGAGCAAGGCTAATATATTCAATAGTTGGCCAAATACGCAACTCTCCGGCGGGTATGTTCCTGTGTCACTGTAAGGGGAAAATATCGCACGATTAAAAATTAAACATTTTCATACGCCAACATGTAAACAAGACATAATGGTAGTTATTAAGGCTAGTTTCTTCTGGTAGAAAGCCTTCTAGCGAAAAATAAAGCGAATAGGAAGAAAATCAGCATTCAAAATGGTGGCCTTTTGTAGGAATTCGAACACTGACCACAGGCGTCGGTGCGAAATGCGCTATCGCTTAGTAAATTAATAATCTGGCTTACGGCCATATCACGTTGAATCACCGGTTCTCGTAAGTTAAATCGAGCCTGAGCAGCACGTAGATAGGTGACTGCTTGAGAATAACAGGTGTTGCAGGCTTGGGTGTGTGGATGGTGTAATGTATAACAGCCCCAGAATTAAAAATCGGAGTGCCGGGTTCTAATTCCAGTAGGGTTCGTTATATTCACTTATGTGTTAATGCTTTTGCCCACTGCTATGGTTTAATTTGCAAGGATTGTATCAGTAAATCCTTATTATCTTCAAATGATTCTTACAATCTAAATAAGAATAATCTGCAAAAGGTTGATAAGCCGTAAAAAACTAATCAATCAATCAATACAAGAATCTATACTATTTAAGTGATAGCGCATTTCTCGCCGCTGCAAAGTTCTTCACCCGATCCACTTCCGAAAATCAAGAATTCATTGATCAAATATTTGAATGAAACACGAGAAACGATGTGGCAAATGTACTAAACTGGTGGATGGATAATTATTTACATTATTTAAATTGTTCGCACTGTTGTCCTCATCTTTATTGTCATATTCACGACGTTTCAGACGTTGTACGCTCCGGCCTTCTTCAAGTGATTGGAATTTCGAACTCAACCATTTATTTCGTTTTCCGAAATTTCTAGTTCCACGTGCCATGCCTCTTCTGGATGTCTCAGTTATCTCCCTTTAACTCAACTTTCCAAGTTTTCGTTCGCCACTACCGTAGTCAGATACTGAACTCACAACTCTTTGGGTCAAGTCACTGGATCCAACCAACACTTTTATCCACAGTGGATAAAAGGGTCTCCTCGAAATTCACAAAGAGAGTATTCCGCTCAGAATGATTGTTAGCTGCCAAAACTCTGTGTGCCACTCACTTTTAAAAATGTTCACTTCAAAATACCAAATATATAGTGTTTTTGAACACACCACTCTCTGTCGATTCTCGAAACATCCATATCTGCTCTGTTTTTGTAATGCTAACATAAACAAAGACAATTTATTTTTAGGAAATAGATTAAATCCAGCATATTTCTAATTTAGTTTGTTTAAACGTTATTTTTTTATGGATAGTCATATTCGCGAATCCTGTCAGAGGAAGCATATTTTTCTGATAAGATTTCTAGAGATATTCAGGCCGGTAGACGTAGCTTGATAATAAATATTGTTTAATTAAAAAAAAAGAAGAAAAACAGAGCTTCTAATCGAATATGTGCGTGTGTGTATGTGTGTTTGTGTACGCATGCGTGTGGTGAACTCTCTCATGGATGACAAATGAGGGTTCAGTAAAATCGCACGAGTTTCCCGTGGCCTGCAGGTGTTTTGCAGACTTTTTGACAGATGGAACATGCGATAGACCCATTTCCCTCGAGTGGATGAGAATCAAATACCACTTGTTTCCGCGAGTGGACAGCAAGGCTTATTTTACTGCGTCCAACAAAGTCACATGGAGCAAGTAAGGCTATAATTGAGAAGAGCAGCATGTTGCCAACTTGCTTTATATATATATATATATATATATATATATATATATATATATACGATCAGGATGCATTTATTCTCGCATTTCGTACAGTAACCCATATTGTTTGGAAGTGGTCAGATTTTGAATAAGAAAACTTTATCCTATGTTCGTCTTCAATTTTCCTTAAATAAGGGATCTGAACTACAAAACACCAAATTGTATTTTTTTCTATTAGCATTATGACACAAGCTGTTTATAATAAACTTCGTGTGTGACTCTCGAACCAGTTTATTGAAAATTCTCTTTATGCAACTTGGCTCTTACTAAAGACTTACCTTATCGCCATCCGAAATAGCGTAAAGCGAAGAAATAATTACTATTAGTTTACATAGAAACTTTTAGCGTTCAGTCACCAAAAAATAACTTTCTTCAATGTCTGCCTGGCTTGAGGCCAAAGATCGCGATTTTTCAATTGCTTTAGTTGATACGGAAGGTTTAAAATACAACAGTATACGAAACTGTTTAGTTTTATGCATTTTTATAGACAATCAAACCATACTGTAAGATTAACTTCCCTTCACTTTCAGAATTAAAGTCAAACTTTTCTGCCGCCATTGCAGCAGTGTCAATTGTAACGAAAATGCGAAGCGTTCTGGGAACGCTAAAAATTATTTCCCATATAAATTCATGGTAAGTGAGGCTCTTTTTCACATATCTTTTCAGTTTACAAATGGTTTCATCAGGACGTTATACCTTCGGGTAGAGACGGAAAACTGTATATCTAAAGTAAGCATAGTAAATAATTTGGATTGTTAAGTTGCTAAAATTTAAATAAAAATGAATCTGTCTAAAACGAACGCATTCTATATTTCATTCTATTAAAAATCGGCTTTCAGTTGTTAATTCAGTCTCCACTTTTCAAAAAAAGAGCCCTGGGAACTTTTGCAGAAACATATTAATTAAAAATTAGTTAATAGATCTTACCTGATGTAAGGAAATCCGGGATCTACATGTTTGAAAGCTACTGCAATGGCGTATCTACAAAATAAAATAAAAATATGGAAAAAAAAGCAATAAAAAAATGATGAAAAGAAAAACAGGAATAAAAGAATAGTAGACACTTTCTAAGCGTAGCTTAGTTAAGCACAAGTTCATAAACGTGAGACTCCTAGTGAGAACTGAACTCACTAAACAGTAGTAATGGTCTACTAGACGAGCTCACTGAGTATTATGTCTAATATATAATAACAACAGTTAGCTAATCTTCGTTGCAGTTATATTTATGTTCCTTCAACACCTATATGGCCAACCTATTATTGCAACTATTTGAGCAGACTTTAGGTATAATATGAGAGAGAGAGAGAGAGAGAGAAATCTGGTGTGATCAGTAGATTTGAACGAAGTCATTACACGATGGCTTGTGATTTTTTTTGCTAGCACAGCCATCGACAATTTCCCTCACAAGGCTTTGATCAGCCCGTGGAATAGTTTTCAGGCACTTGATATTATCAAGAAGTGACAAATTTACCATAAGATTCGAACTCGGATGTCATAGTTGGAATGTGAACACACTATATATATGCATGTACAATGGTGAATGAGTAATGTGACTGATATAATTTTGATCCCAAATATTCATTAATATTTTCTAAAGAACTTGAGTCATGTTCTTAAGTAGCCCTGTCAGATCGAAACTCCAATACTTGAAAGAGCGATAACATATAGTGGACTTGAGAAACCTATTTTCCTGAAAAAAATTATTTTCAGAGAAAGAGTTTATGAATTTTAACTGATAGTAACGCTGTTTGGTCAACGAATTCTGAATGTTGCGTTATAAGGAAACAGTTAATCTCAACATTACCACAAACACACAGGATAGCTGATCACCCGCTGTATGAGGATACATACCGCAAAATATGAGGACGTCCCTCCCCAATCACCGAAAACCTGATTGTTCTCGCGCTGTTTTTTAAAGTTATAATTTGCGCAACACGTATGTGAACTCTTAGTATCAGACTGTTTGTGTGTGCGCGCGAATCATCTGAGTTACATGGATGGCAATGAATGGTATGCCATTGCTGGAATGGAATAAACAACTACCTTTTTTTGTCGTCATCTTTTTTCTTAAATTAAAAAAAATACAAGCTCTCCTCATAAAAAGAAGGCTGTAGATGTTGTTATCACAGTGGCTCAAATTAATCAAAGAAAAACAGGTCGAAGAAGTTCAGTTATTCGAACAAATATTAGAATATTAATATCCTTTCTTAACGTTACAGTCAAAAGATTTCTGTCTTTACAAAACCACGAATTCAAAGTAATGTAAGCACCTTTGTGTCAGTCAAAATAAGTATTTATACAATTTCTTAAGATTTTCAAGTTTGAAATCCTTACAGAAACAACAGTAGCCACAATTCAATACGAGGTGAGTCAGTACGCTGTACCCTACTCTCCCTAAAATCTTTTTTTCGTCCAGGCAAAGGTTATTTGAGTGTAAATGCTTTGCAGATACATTTGACGAGGTCTTATGATTTTTTTTATTACAGAAGACAAATAGCATTTGTATCCATGACAAAGAAAATATCAACAGAAGGACTTAAACGTCAACATATCAATCAAACTAGTAGAAAATTTCAATTGGAATTTTTTTTTGTTAATCTCAGCCAAATGAAGGTGTAACTGGATTTATGAAAGCACAGCACAAACCCAATTAAGAAAAATGTATTTGCTTGACAATGCAGTGATACGTAAAAAATGCTAAAATCTTCAAGAAAATAATCCCTGACAATGGAAATTCTTCAGTGATATTGAATGCTAAAATACAGAGGACAACACAGAAAAATATTACGGAGATTTTAAACCGAGTCATTACCATTATTACACGCCTTCTTGTTTAAGTCGGTATGCTTACCTTAACAGAAAGACAACATTTTGGTCGCTGTAGCCTCATATTTTAAAAATAATTTCACCCCAAGCAAGGTTATAATGACACTAAAACACAATGAGTTGCTAGGAAGGAAAAATAAAGAGAAGACTTTAGTGAGGAGAAAGAACTAAGAGAACAGATTTTCAGGAAGACAGAAAATGGCGATTGGCATTGCCTTTACATTTTTGAAGATTGTAGGTGACATGGAAGCAGAAACTGCCAAGTTAAAAAAAAAACTATTAGAATAGAGCAAATGGTTACATCTAGTTAGTTCAACTGGAAAACAGTGAGATCTAGTTGCCAGTCTAGTAGAATATTTAAATTTATGCGATCGAGGTACCAAAGAGGAAAGCTGATCAAATAATTGTCATGAAAATATTTATAGAAAGGACACAGGGAAGCCACGTCACGGCATTGGGAAAATGAAGTCGTGATGCCAGGATAGATTATATTACAGACCCTTCTTTGGATTTGGTCAAGAATCTTGAGATTTATATTAGGAGCGCCAAACCAAATATGGCAGAAATATGCAATGCACGGGCGGATGGTAGATTTATAAATGTGCAAGATGGATTCTGATGGGAAAAATTATCTAGTACGACACAGTGAACCAATTTTCCTAGCATTGATTCAATATAATCACTTCATATCAGTGGAAAACATGAGCAGAAGGCGGCGCAAAGAGTTGCTCTCCTGGTGGTTAGCATTAGCCATGCTGATGGCAGGCATTAAAGGTTCTCTATGGTGATTAAATATTAGCAGTTTTTTTTTGGAAGCGTTAAAATTTACAAGTCATTCCTTGTCCCAGTTAACCACTGTTTGGAGGTCGTTTTCGAGGGCAGCTGCCAGAGTAACTTTGTCGGAACTATCGGACTAGCTACTTAGACACGAGTAAATAGTTGTATCATCAGCCTAAATACCTAGTTGGGAGCTGAAGATATTGGGAGGATCGTTGATAATAATTTGATTCGGTTAGCGAAACGGACAAGCGACAGAAAGGTGAATGATAATGAATGAAAATGGTTAATTTCAGCTTTTCCATCCATCGACCAATCAGTCAGCGTGACTGACTGTTGAAATACATACATATATATATGTTTTATTTAACACACTTTTTAGGAAATTAGACTTCTCAAGTCCAGTAACTGCTGTCGCCCTTACCAGTATTGATTATATTTTCTTTCCAAGCCTTTTGTTTAAGGTTGCGTGAAAAATCAACATATTGACTATAACTTTACTTTCCTTTCTAATTACACGGGCAATCCATTTTCGTTGTTACTAATATTGGGAGTCATCAAGTAACGTAATTTTTGTTGTTTGGTAAAGCCCTTCGTTTGTGATTTCAAAGTTGTTTAGTATTAACTGATATAAAATATCTTCTCGGTATGGAAAGCAGAATTAGAATAGTCTGACTAATTGGATTGAATTTCGGTTAAAAATTCTGATGAATCCTAAAGAACACAATGGCCAAAACGTTGTACCTATGAGAGCTAATTTAAACCTGATTATCATAATAAAAAGCATAAAAAAAACACCGCACGTCTTTATAGGTGTTCCTCTGTGGGTTAAAATGTCCAAAAGGCAACTTGGGTATTGAAGAGTTCTCGGTCGAACTAAGAAGGGCTTAAAAAAATTATGTTTGTTCATTTGATCAAATTCTGAAATGTGAGTCGGGATTCAAATTTTCAGTATCCCCTCGTATATATAATCGATGCCGTTTTGATATTTTTAGAATAATATGCGTGCATTAGCGTTCGAGTATATATATATATATATATATATATATATATATATATATATATATATAGTGCACCAAGTCCCTGTATTCGGCCCTTCAGAAAGTGTGGTTGGTTCTGCATGAAGCTTTTACCACTATAATCAAATCATATGTGCTGGTATCTGGGGTGTCGGTTTCTAGGAACTGGGTTGCTTGACCCTCGTACGTCGAATACGACGAGAAAGTTCACCACCATATATATATATATATATATATATATATATATATATATATATACATACACTCTTGTGCAAATTGAAACAACCGCTTTAGTTTCCTTTCTTTCACCATACGGTCATATATATCGATTACACACTGGAGTGACAGGATGTAATCGATTTCTATTTTTTCCTCAGATTAGCTCATTTTCAGTGGTGTGCAGTAATATAAATCTATTGTTGGGGTGTATGAGGAAATTTGTTTAGCCTTGAAAAATATTGCGTCATCCGTGATTGCATCAGATTTTTATCAGGCCAAGACACTATTGCCTCGACTGTCGATTAGTTGTCTTACGCCCATTGTCTGCGATGGACGTTACTACAAGGAAGTGCACGAAAATTTTAACGCTGCAAGAACACAGTAGCAAGCCTTGCCAGTGATCAAATCAAATTACAATAGACAGGACCGGGAACTCCCCTGATTTAAATCCAATCGAGGATCTGTGGTCAATCTGCAAGGAACGGGTTCATGGAATGGACATACGAAGTACTATCATGTGCACTTTGTCATGTTTCTTTGGAAAAAAAATACGAAAAAAAAGTAAAACGGAATTATTAATTTTGCTTCAATTAATTTGCACAAGGGTGTATATATTTGAAAACTGGCATGCTATAATACTGGTTCCTCATAGTAGGCCAGGCTTAATATATATATTATATATATATATATTTGAGGAATAAAAAATATGGGATCATATTAAACATAAAAAAAAACAACAAAAAAAAAAAACAACGGGAGATGAAGTTTAAGTTGGCCTTATTTGGGGGAACGGTTACATGATTTGAGGTAAAATAATCCCCCCCCCACTTACCATCTTGTTTTATTTACGGTATTAATAAAAAAGTTTTTTCTTGTTAGTACTCTGTTTTAGATTACCGACGATTGGGTTTGAAAATGTGTCGGTCGAAAGGCGCCTTACATTTTATGTTTTAAACGCGGATACTGTTGTATCTTATGTTTAATATGATCCCATATTTTTTATTCCTCAAATGTCAGATTAGATTTGGCAGTACGAGAAATTTGTTTATATATATATATATATATATATATATATATATATAAGGTAAATTCAGTTTCGGAATAAGGCCACAAGAATGGAGTACTTGATGATGATCGAACTCATCATAAATTGATGTGACCAGCTTAATAAGCATTACACCACGAGGAGTCGCCTATATTCATGATTTATATATGTAGTAGCAATGATACCTGGCGTTGTGCGAGCCAAGTCTATTTTCTTATCTTCATTACGCTACGTAAGTCGTTTCTTTGCTGTATAATAACAAAATTGCTCTTAATATAGTTCCATAGGAGTAAATAGTATGTTACATCATCATAATTCATGACTGTAAATTATAATAAAATGACCTTAATTTTCTCACCAATACAAATTGTAATGCTTTATGCACATTTTTTTTATTGATCATGCAAAAACGTTTGACAAATTACATTACAAAGAACTGTTTGAAATTGATTTAACTGGGAAGGATATTAGAATAAAACGGAAATTCTACTGGAAGCGAACTACCTGCATGAGGATAGAAAATCAATTAAGCGAATACACAAAAATAAAAAAGGGCGTGAGACAAGGGTATGTCTTCTCACCAGATTTATTCAACCTTTACAGTAAAGCAATCTTGAGAGAATTAGAAGTCCTACCAGGATTCATTGTTGTCGATCATAACCATAACAATATTAAATATGCAGATGATAGAATACAAATAAAGGCAATGGTAAGAACACCCTACAGAAGGTGTCAAAGAAAAGCAAGAAAGCACTAAAGATTAACTGTATAAAGACAGAATCTGTGGTTGCCAACAAAAAGACAGCCCCACATGCAAATTACAAAATAGAGATGCCAAAATTAAACATGTGCAAAAATTAAAAATCTAGGAAGTGTTTTAACAGAGGATGGACAAAGCGACACCGAAATCCGAAGGTGTGTAGCGAGTTAACGAAAGATGCCTTCCAAATGTTAAGAAAAGTACTAAGAAACAGGAATATTTCATTGGTAATAAATAAAAGAGTACTGAAATAATACGTAATATCGTTCCTCCTATATGGCAGTGAATACTGGTCAATCTCATCACAGATGGAGAATAGACTTGAGGCAATAGAAATGTGGTTCTACAGAAGGATGTGAGCAGCAACGAATTTTTAGAGAAAATGAAAACAAAAAGGACACTTATACGTAGCATCAGAAACAAATAGTTGAAATTTCTAGGGCACATAATGAGGAAGAAGGACGTGGAGAATTTGACACTCACAGGACATATTGAAGGAAAGAGGGACAGAGGAAAACAGCGCATAACCTACCTAACGAGCTTGTGTAAAAGGTTGGTAGAACCGGAATTGGGAGAGATAGCTAAAAGACAAAGTTTACTAAGGGGTACAAAGGACAGAAACTTGTGGAGAGCCACGATCGCCTACGTCTTGAAGTTATACAGCACATAAAAGAAGAAAGATAGTTAAATATGAAAACAATTGTTTTTATTTTCATAATAACTGTTCTGTTATAAATATGTGCTAAGGTTTGACTTAGTTTGGCTCAAGGCTACATGCCTTAGGTACCCAATGAGGATTGAATGTCTATCCTTTTCATAGCTAAATACCATTAACTGTACGTATGATGAGTTGGTTCAAACTGATATTCTCATTTTGTCGCTTTTATCACTACATTTTGGCTGCTACACATTTTGACCTTCCTCAAGCTGTATTATTCATCTGGTAGAAGGGCACTCCGCAACAGATGGCTTTAGAATTTTGCATCAAAAGATTCATGCAGGTAGCGTCAATATTTTCCTAGTTAAACCGGAAAAAAACGTATTTATTGAAGATGTCTATAAGAATCTGACATCTAAAGCCTAGAACTATCTCTAGACGAAATACTTACCTAGTTACTGCTGCAGAAGGTGCAAGCTAAAAGCCACACTGTAGCAGACGCTCTTATATTAGGCAGGTGCTAAAGTTTGTAGCATATTTTTTAGCAAAATCCTTTAATCATATACATTCATAGCATCATTATTCAGTCTTCAAAGTGTTTTCTGCGGCTTACTATAAGCTTACATAAACAGAGTTAAATTGTGTATAAAAGAGCGATTTTGGTATTGATTTGAGGAATTTTCAATACTTTAAAACTGTTGGTGCTGCTGACTAGATGCGAAACAAATGATAGCCTGAAAGCGATAGATCAGGAGAATACTTCGCAAACAGAAGAATTTCCCATCGCTTCTCTATAATCGTCTGCTGCATCCCATTTTCAAGTGAAAGACAGCTTTGTCAGGCTGCAAAAATCACCAGTCGGTTTATTTTTTCCCCTTTAAATTCATCATTCAAACGAACAAACTACGATACTACTTAAATAGACTGATCCTTCCTTCTTGCCTTTCTTCCTTCCTTCGGTGCCATGCGTGATACACACTTGGGCGACCAGGTTTCATTTCGATTCAGGATTGATTTGGCAGAAGAATTCCAACAGCTGACTGCCGCTACTTTTTGGACTAGTCCATTCGTAAAAAAATACATAAAAATTTTTTGGAAATAATTTTTGCAGACTAGCCTTCTTTAAAAAGAAGCTGCGATATTTATCGAAATGGAAAAATATTTATTTTTTATCTATTTAGAAAAGGGAGTTCAATCATAAAATCGATACAGATTAAAATCGATTTCTGACTTTTACAGAGTTATCTGCACTTAGTTTTTTTATATATTCCTGCCGTGCCTTGAAAATGCGCTGCTGTCAATGATACCTGCATATTTTTTTAATACTTTCGTTAATTTATGTAAATTTTTGTTCTTTAATTAAAATATAGTATACTTTAAAGATCAAAAAGGTGTATATATTTTTAATGACTAAATATGTTTTTGTAAAAAGATATTAAAAAATATAGATATTTCTTTCATATCTTTTTACAAGAACATGTCTATTTTGCAAAAAAATTACTTCGTTTAAAATATTTTCTTAAAATAAAGCACATAAGATTGTATATATCCGTTTATTTATTTTATTTCAAAGAAATCTTTTTTAAAATAAAAACGTCTGTTTTCATACTCAGATGTCAATCGCGTAAGCAGAGATTAAAACTTAATATTCGTAAACAAGTTCCGATAATTATTTACACTGTTCGGACTGTTGTCCTCATCTTTATTTGATTGCTAATGTTCACGACGTTTCGGCCGTTGTACGCTCCGGCCTTCTTCAGGAGATTGGAATTTCGAACTGAACCCTTTATTTTGTCCATCTGGGTAGATTGTTCTAGTTCCACGTCTATACCTCTTCCGGATGTCTGTTAATTCGCTTTTAACTCAACTCTTCATGTTTTTGTTCACCTCTTTAGTTATTGAACTCGCAACTTTTTGCTCATCACTGTTTTTGTTCAACTCATTGTGTCAAATCACTGGATCCAACTAACGCTTTTATACACCGAGCCATGTGTCTTTGAGGACATCAGTGTATGAATTTTTAAAATTTTTATAAACTTAATGTCTCAGTAACCATTTTTCTTCCAGAGCTTATATTAAAGTTTTGTTGTTATTGCTTTTCTCTAGCACTCCGTATTACTGGTTCCCATATTGTATTCATTTCTATGATTGGCCGACTTAGATTTTTGTAGCCTAGCATATGTACTGATTCCTTAAGTTTTCGTATTTTTCAGTGATGTTCTCTATTATTTCAACCTCATCCCACATCTGGGATAGAAGAGTACCAGAAGATAACAACACTCAGAAAACAACTTCGTATGCCTACCTTATGTGAAGGGATTATCAGAGAAAATACAAAAAATCTAGTGCAAGTTTGTTTTCCTTAAATATGCTCTGGCATACCAGACCTTTCCACTTCGTCTCGAAATCGAAGCCCCTGTTTATCACTAAATACATTTTGGAGGTTTAGATGGCGTTTTTACTTACGTGATGAGGAAGAAGACGGGAGCTGCGATGAAAACGACAATGGGAAACAGCCACAGCCTCTGACCCCACATTATGCATGTTTGCCTGCATTGATTATGTCAGGATCAACCTACAAAGAAAAAAAGAAAACAGTCTAAATTAATGATTCATGCCACGTGAGTATCGTGTCTTTTACGAGTACAAAACTACACCGGGTCACAAAAAATGTTCTTCTGAAATTAGCGTTTAAAAAAAAAATATATATTTTTTCATTATTTCAAGAAAAATGTCTCTCTACGCATGTGTAGTAAGATGCCATTTGATTGGTTGCCATCAAAGACGCGCTATTGTATTTCGAGACATCTAAATCAAACTATTTTGAATAAGTTCCAGACATTATACACATGGTGAAATTCGTAGAGATGAAATCAGTAAAAAGATAATTGTCTTATTGTACCTGATGAGATATCTCAAAAGAAATTTTCTTGTCTTGAGTCTTCTTACTTTAGCTGTGTAACGGATAGAGATTCAAGATTATTTTCTAGTTAGCAATAAAGGCAGTGGAGGCTGTTGTTGCCTTGGAGCAGCTGAAAAACTATTTCACTGATTTTGCACATTTACATTTTTTAGTATAGAGGAACCGAAAAAGAGAGAGATTTTTTTTTGTAAAATTTTAAAACAATTGTAATTGCTCAAGATATTTTCACCGAAAAAGTACAGCAAAAGCCGAATTAAGCCGATTATGGTCAACATCATCACCAATTTCTTTTCTTTTTCGTGATATATAACGCATTCCGAGATCATATCCACGTGCTGCTTATAATTTGCGGTATTTATAAAGGAACAGTTCTCAGTATTGGAGATGGAGCACTTATAGACACAGTGTGGACATAGGAATCAACACTGCATAGTGACAGTTTTACGCCTCATTGCAATTTTCAGAAAATAGATAAACTAAAAGTCAACATGCAGTGTTGATTCTTATGTCTATATTGCATATGATGATAATTTGTATGTAGTATGATAATGAAAACCTAACCGATATTATGTGTTATTGTCCTGGGTCATAAATGAGTGGTCTAGTGTTCAATACCAAAGAAAGAAATAAGATGAACGTTTTACCCTTCTGAAAAACTTATTTCCAAACTGTACGTTAACACAAAATGGTCCGTAACTAGATCGTATTGGTAAATCAAGTTTTAGATACAAGGCGTTTGTGTTAAGAGTATATTAAAATAGATCTTGGAGATTATTTGGATTAGTGTTTTTTTTCCTAGCGCAATTTAAAAACAGAGACATATATTTTACATGTGTCTACAACAGAGACATAGATCTCCGTTTCACTAATGAAACCAGAACGTGTTTCCTTGCATAAGCAATTGCAGGAAAGGATCAAACACTTTGATAAACTCTCATGCTGAGGATAATAAAACTAAGACTAAGATCTGCCTATCATCAAATGAGATACAAGTTAGGACGCACCATTATATCGTAAGAAAGTGACGCAAATAAGCGTATATTTTGACCATGCAAGATATGTTTTGCAAAACCTTTTAAGATCAGTCATTTAAAGACATGCTTAGTGGGTGAGAGGGTTACGATAGGTGTTCGAACCTAGGTAAAAGCCGAGAATTCAAACGCTGAATTTTTAAGGCAGGCAAGCCATTCCCTAATTGAAAGAGTAACACAATACAATCGAAGTTGATACTTGAACGCGTACAGTGTATTCGAAGTTGACACTGTACGAAATACAACAATGTACAATGAGAGTAAATATGATCGCATCAAATAGAATGGTTTTCAACGAGTCATTAATGGTGTAAGATGTTACGTCGTTGTGTCCAGTCATAAATCTCAGTCGTATTGATGAAGGCGAAAGTAAGAAATAACACGAAGATTGTAATTTAAATAAGGAGAAACATTTATTTTTGACTGTTGCATCAAATAATTGATATTAGATGTTCAACTGCTACATTAGATAGACAAAGGCGATCAAGTAATGGCATTGTCAAAAGTAACTGTTGTGAGAAGTAATCCTTTAATTACCTTAAATTACTTCCGATTGACTTCAAAATACATCGCCCTGACACACACAAAAAAACTTGGGTCGCCACCAGGCACAGAGAATTCATTTGGCGAAGAAGAAATTCGTCGTTTTCAGCAAACAGAGACGTTGTATGTGTTATATATATATATATATATATATAGAGAGAGAGAGAGAGAGAGAGTGAGTGAGAGACATGTTTCATTGAATAATTTAGAGAAGTTTTGTCTACTTATTTTCAAATGGATCCTTTCATATTCACGGACAATTTTGTTGGTATCATTATTAAAGAAACAGAAAAAATTACCGTTGATACATGTTATTTATTCCTAGAACTTTTGACGTTAGCACAATGTCATCATCAGGGTGTTCTTTTTTCAAGACAATTATAGTAGTGTTCGTCATTTTCAAAGACAAAATTACTGCGTTCATCTGAAAGTTAACATTTTTTACCGGTGAACTCTGAGTTTAGTACAATTAGCTAAGTAACGCTTTAGGGGAGGAATTTATGAGGTGTCGAGAGTTTTTTTAAAAAAATAAGTATTAAGAACTACTGGGACAAACCTCGATATTTTAAACTATCTACTGCACACATTTTCAAAGATTTGTGCAGTATTTATAATTTTATTAAGGTTTGGATTCAATTTTTAAAATAAAGACAGCATCAAGAATTTTTAGTTTATGTTTATTAATTTCATGGTATGGGATAATTGTCCCTCCCACAAAATGTTTAATATCTAAAAAGTACTAAACTAATTGATTTTCTTTTTCCAAGTGTTCAGATAAGACGTTTAGCCATCTTGACACCATTTGTCGTAAGAATCACTGAAAAGCTGTTTTAGAGTTTTAGAGTTATGAGCTAGAAAGAGAACAGGTTAAAATCATTTTGTGTCAGCCACACCATGTCTTCTCAACTGAGCAATGGTGAGAAGAAAAAGATCATTCCGGCCTTCAGTAATGGTACGAACATTCATACTCTGGCTTTCATCTTCAAAGTTCATTCAAGAACCATCAAGAAAACGGTGAACAAGAACCATCAGAGAAAACTGGATGAAGGTCACAAATAGCAAGAAAATCATCATTTCAACAAATATATTCTTATTGTTCTAATAATAGTGTTGTAAAAACGTCGGAGAATTTCAGTAAGATATCTTTAACCATTTCTAAGATACAACGGTTCAAACTTAATCTATCTATTCAACAACTTTGGTGTTACACCCGGTATATATATATATATATATATATATATATATATATATATATATATATATATATATATAAGGATGGTTGCCAAAATAACAGGCAGTTAAGTAATACAATAGTTCTCATTCAAATTTGTAATCTAAATATCTACATTGTTATCACCTGACAATAATCGGGGATCAAACCGACCAAAACAGATAACAAGGACAACGATAACGAAGATTGAGGAAGTTAAATTTTAAGTGCAAGATAAATAAAGAAACGAGGCCCAGAAGGCGAAATTTGTCATGCAAGTGAGATTAGGTCACGCGAACGCCGCCATTTTTAAATGCGAGAATTTTGTTTACGCGTTGTTGTTTAAATCACGTGTACCAGTGGTAGGCATAAATATCGCCACCTGGTGTAAAATACTAAAAACTCGAGTTGTTAGCAATGCATGAAAATTAAACTTTTCAGTACTAACGTAATTATAAAACAAGTAAATGTGTTTAGTTCAATTTGTAACATATAAATGTTGGTAGAAAAAAAGCAAACGTTGATAAGATGGCGATAGTCACAAAGGACTGTCGTCCGGAGCCCCCAATTAGGCTTGCGCTGCGGTCGTGAGTGGTCGGGGGTAGTACGCACTAGCCCTGTGTATAGGAAACTAATCCATATTTGCATAACGACGTTTCGAAAGGACAAGGAAAAGAATGGGAAGATACAGGCAATGTGTGAAAGAAAAGCAAATGACAATGGGTAATCTTGTTAACAGCTAATAATAATAAAGAGATCCACTAGGAATTGTGCAAACGACAGAGATTGGACGATGCAAAATCCAATAACTGAACTATGCAAAAATTATGCATAGTTTGTGGAATAATAAGGTATGAATAATTCAAGGTTTCGATCTAAAATAGATTATATTTACCGCATTCATAAAGTACTTTGACCAATATAGTACTACTGCTACAATGGGGCATTAAAATGTCCCCACCAAGAAGTGATTCCAAGACACTCAGATGTCTGGTCATTGGTCAGATTTTGGGAAGTGGGTCGCGTCGGGAATTTTTCAGCGCCGTCTTTATAATAAGACTAATTATTATTGTAAAAATACTATTCTACGAAGATTTTCTGTCTGAATTTCTGGGATGAGGAGTTATCATTTATACTTTATATTTGGACTATCGTGTTCATCTTTGTTTTTATTATAACAACGTTTCGAACATCGTGCTCTTTGGCCTTCCCCAGGTGTATATTGACGTGGGTAACCTACAGGGAATTCTGAACTAAACCCTTTATTTAATCAAGGCGGGTAGACTGTTCTCGTTCCACTCCCCCGAGACATGGGCAGTGGAACGAGAACAGTCTATAATTCCAGAATTCCCTGTAGGTTAGCAAGATCAATATACACCTAAGGAAGGCCAGAGAGCACAACGGTCGAAACGCTGTGATAAGAACAACAAAGATGAAGACGATAGTCCAAATATAAATAACATTTTTAAATTCAAAGAGAACTCAAATCAGGCCAGAAGACAAAATCTGGTCATCGCAATATAAAAAAATAAAATGGATTTGATAGACAGATATTAGCGGAAAGAAAAAGAAAAAAGCTGGAAAATATTAGGAATTTGACAAAGATCTTAAACAAAATTATCGTCTCTGAAGGGGACACGTATAACCAGCATTACTGGCACAATTGAAACAATCCCCAAAGTTCTTCAAAAATTGGAACCATTGGAAATCCGAAGAACTGAAATAATCGAGCTGTCATCGTTAGTAAAACAAACTAGATAGAGAGGTGTGAAAACTCAACTACTACCAATACTACTACTTCTACTGCTAATAATAATAATAATAAATAAT